GAGTCAACCCTGGAAGCTAGTGATGAGCTGAACTTGGCTCGTTGCCCGCAACAAGCTCGCACAGGCTGATTGTGCTAAATGCTTGTGAATGTATTTAACAGATACGCTCCCATTGTTGGTATTTATGAATGATCAGAGTGATCTATCTTCAAAACATTGAACAGCACTATTAATAGGTAATATTCAACTTAAATCATAGTAATAGTAGTGCTTTGACTGGACCATCTCCTGAAAAATAGTCTTTTGTATATTTTGGAGTTTCAATTGTTCAATTTCAGTGAAGCTTTTCAGTAAAAGTTGCTCGTAGATGCTTTAGATTTTTTTAGTGGACCTCCAGTGTACTTAACGTTCCTACGGTATTTTACAGCTTCACTATAAAACATGTAAAATGTTCTAGAAGACAACAGTTTTCACATGCGAACACGTGATACATGCCATCTCTCACCGAGGACTACTTAACACCTGGTTAAGTAATTTACGGTAGAATAACATTGTGCGTAGCCAAACTCAAAGTTACACTTTTGGGTTCACTCGTGTAAAGAAACCGGGGCCACGGTTTGCGAATTCCACTTGCGCTATTGGGTTTCATCCTATTTGGCTGCATCATGTGTATACGTTTCGACAGAAACGGGCAAGGGTTGCACTGTTGTCTCATCCCGGTTACTCAGTGATCGGAAGCAGATGCATCTTGCTTCTTCAATCTCGAATACATTTGAGACTGTTCCCATGGGTAATTAGGCGTTTTATCATTGCACTAATTGGCAGATGGTCTAAGAAGAAAATTTGGTAACAAGAATCTGCAAATGCTATTTGTCACGTATTCTACGGTGGGCGGGGCTAATGTATTCCAGGCACATTCCTTTGTAAGAATTCCTCGTCCAAATTGAACTAAGTCCAGTTGAAAAGGACAACTGGTTGAATTACTTCAGCCGTTTTGATCCAGATATTCTTATTGGCGATGCCCAACAGCAACTTATCACTGCAAATTAGTGTGTTTATTCGCGTTTCTCTATGTGAAACTTTGTGAATCAACCAGGACACAAGTGCAATCCCATCGACCAATCATTTGTTCTGGTAGGTCTTCTTCTAGAATACTCTCAGGCCCATAGAGTTCGAACAATATTGAAATTCGAGCAAAATGTGTATCAGATGAAAATCATCTGCTTCTCAGGAGAGTATTTCGTTTAAAATCCGATATCTCTTATCAATAGTTGGAACTTCTCACGGCAAAGTCTGACGAGAATCTGATTTCGAAAAAGTAAAGGTCATATCTGAGTAAATTTTATCTGGTTTCTCAACGGAGTCCGACATTTAACCGTTATGCCGACACAGAAGTAAATGCTTTCACAGTAATCACAATACCGAAAACGTGGAGGACTGCGCTGTTGAAATTTCCACAAATAAGACTTTAAATATACATTTATATGTATGCCAGTTTGGTTGCAAGGCAGATGCTATACAGTCAGGCTCTGGAAAACCCAAGCACACAACCTTTCAAAAAGGCCAAATAGATAATGGAACGAATGCGGAATAAGCCATTTTTTCTCACATTGAAATTTTTGAAGTAACGGATCTGTTCAAGCATTCTGGATCCAGTAAACTTCTGGTATACAAATACATGGAGACCAATGTCATTTGAGAATGATTTAGGAGATGTTGTACAAACCTGTTTTGATTTATTGAACTTCAACTTTACTCCAGACAACTGTTGCTTTCATTATTGGTCAATTTGCTCAAGAATTATTTGTCTACATTCAATTTATATTTGTTCAATCGAGACTCAAGTGTTCATGTCAAATGTGAGAGACTGACTTGTTCTAGCAACGGAAGGAAGCGATCGATCCCATTCCACACCTCTAGCATCGAATGGGTTTTACAGCCTACTGAACGAAGAGTTTGATCATAACTTGACCATTACAATCACGTGACAGCATGTCTTACTTATGTTATCCTTTTCAAATGTACAATCATTCTTTAAATCTTATCCGACCAGAGCTACAAAAGTGTGAAACTCCTCACAGTAAAACTTCTATTTTTCAGAGCCGATGTCAGTGGAAAATCAAATCAAAAGGATTTACCATTAGAATGGTACTTTTCTGTCGTCCCTAAATAGTATGTACTATTGAATTGTTAGTATCGCTTTATTTCCATTTTACAATTAAGTGTAAAATGACACGAATGCAGTATTTCCTGATTTCCAGCATGTATTTTTTTTATTTTCAAAGACATTTTAATCACAAAATATCTTCAGTTCTATCTGTAGACACGTTCTTGGAAGCTAGCGTATTTAACCTATCTAGAATACGTGCTTGATTCTGAAGCAAGAACAAACAAGCTTTATTCGTCGGAATTCCTTATTCCGTGAAATTCTCAGTTTTTTATCGGTATGCTTCAGTTGCATGCTTTTCTGTGGAAATAATTATAATGAATGTCTATCAAAAATGAGTAAGAATCATCTTGTCTTAAAAACAGTAACATTATGGTGTTATACATATAATATTACATTGTATTATTAATTTGATATGATTGGTTGACAAACGAGTTTTCAGGGAACAACTTTGGAGGAAATATATCATTCAGGTAGTGTTGAGATGGTTATACAACCTGGAAAAACAACCGGAAACTGTGTTAGGTACTTATTGTTAACATGTGTTGACTTATTTCAACAGACTAAGTGAATTCCATGCAAGGAAATCCAGCAAACAGCCTCGTCTTTTTGTACACAGATTTGCAATATGAAAGAAAGAACAATTATTATGATTAATGAAGTTAATTGGTAAGGGATTTACGCATTGCAATCACGTGTAATTTCTAAACATCAGGAATTGCTCACAATACCTCTTTCGTCTTTCGGCTGACGCCGTTTCATTCCGCTTCCTTTCCGAATCACCGAAATTAGTTCAAACAAGTTGAAGAGTACATGGCCTATCGAAAGCTACCACGGGCTCTGAGACAGCGGATCGCAAATTATTACGAGCATCGCTATCAAGGCAAAATGTTTGATGAGGCTCAAATACTCAACGAGTTTTCCGAATGTTTGCGAGAAGTGAGTTTCTAATTAATCAAATTTTCTATTCATTGTTTTCTACAGATTTTGTCGCTGCATAATACGTTACGTTCACCTCAGGGTATAATGTTTGGATTAGCCCATTCGATTGTATACAGGAACCATACGCTGTTGTTGGTCTTGGGTTTGAGTTTAAACCATTGAGAGATCATTAGTTCCCCAGTACTTAAATGCATTTATTTGCTACAGAAATATTTGTGAATAACGACAAATGGCATTAGGAAGCTGGTTTTTCCCGTGTGAGACTCGTCAGCAGTGCTTAAGTTTAGTGTCCTCGTCAGGACTCCATCTGCGAACATTCGGGTTGGGAAATCAAACCCTTATCCCGGAGCTGCACGTCTGCACCGGTGAAGGGTTCCAAAATAGGATGAAACAGGTTTATACTGCTGTTTGTCGGTCATCACTTTTGAGAATATTGGAGATAAATTACGTTTTGCGTTGAACTCTTTGACTTGGTTTTACACCTCGGTTTTTTTGGCTTATGCTGTAAAAAATGACCATTGATTTTCGTATGCACAAAAATGTAGTTGGTGTACGTTTTTCCTATTTTAGCATATTTTTCCATTGAATAAAAATAATATTTTAAGTTCTTAGCATCAAGACCATTACCATCTCTTTCTTTGTTTAGGGTAATATCTGTTTTGTCTCTATATATTTTAGTTTATTAACTGTAAGAAGGATGATTTACGCCTAATTTAGAATTTCACTATTTTTAGTAAATTGATTCATTGATGACACTGTTTAAATAAATTTGTGATTCTTCGAAGACAGAATTTAGTTTTATTCATGAAATGTTCACTAATATTTTTAGCTCTAAACACATTTCATTTAGTGCAATATACAATTTGGACGCGATTGAAAGAGTGTGTTTAATACAAAAAGGACCCGTTTATTTTATTTGAAATATACAAGAATCTTGGGAAACCTTGATCACAAATTCGAACAATGTGAACAAAATTTAGTAATCCACACAACCCTCTTGTGGCTATATGTGAATGTTTCTTTGAAACAAACCGTGAGGTTTCGGGGCTTGCGTTTTGTTCTCCCAAGTCATCGGCATTTGTATTGCTTGATGCTTCCATTTTGATCCACGTATCTGTGGAGATTAGTTTTCTCTGGAAAAATAAATTACAAACACGCCACTATCAACCGCATGCCTGCACGATATAAGTTTGAGTCATCTAATCTTCGCGAAGGTTTAGATATTAACCGTAAAATCCTGTATTTGAAATCGATAATTTAAATGTTGATTGATTTACTGAATTAAGTCGATCGTACGAATACCTAATACAGTAATATTGTTCATGAATGAAACCAGATTTCCCGACCGGATCTTGATTGGGCGAGATCCGATAAAAACAATCGATCTCGTGTTTTAAAAGCAAATGCAACAAATATCCTGATCGATCGGAAAAAGCTGCCATGAGGTGCTGTGCTTCTTGTACCTATCACGGGGTACAACAAGTGAGGTTTTTAATATTCACTCAATACGTCACACAAAGATATGATTCTATTCCCCTTTTACTTCACCTTTTTTATGTACGTCCAAATCATCGCTTATCTTACATAGTTACTGAAATTATTTGTATTATCAGTAATGCAATTAATCGAAATACATGAATCAATTAGATAAAGAACACAAATAGATAACAGCATGAATAATCTGATATTTACCAGTATTTGCAGCGGAAACAGGAATCCACTCTATCGGTGTTTCTGTGTAATCAATAAACTTGTTTTCTTCTTCTCCTTTAGGCACCTCAGTTTTCAGAATGAATGATTCATTGAAAAAATTGGAATATAACTTCTTCATGTCTCTTTTTTCCCCAAAAGCAAATCATCAACTACAACTGTCGTGCCCTGGTTGCGGCAGTACCTTTCTTCACGTATGCGGATCAAGATTTCGTATCCGAGGTTGTAACGAAGTTGAAATTTGAAGTTTTTCAACCGGGAGATTTGATAATCAAGGAGGGAACTATGGGAAACAAAATGTATTTCATTCAAGAAGGGATTGTAGATATCATTACAAAAGATGGTGAAGTAGCTACCAGCCTCTCAGATGGTTCCTATTTTGGAGGTGAGTTCGAAATTATGATCATCTTTTATAACAATTTCCCAGAAAGACCACAAACGTCTCAAACTAAAGCATATTTCTTTGCTTGACATTTAGTAGACGTTTTTTGAAGCAGAAGGATTGAAAATATATTTTAGGGGGTGATTTAACCTGTCATTTCTACCAAGTTGAGAATATCTCACAGAACACTTACATGTGATCAGTTGTCTTCTCACCCAATATTTGATGTATGCCAGGGATGTCTTGTGCTTTATTAAACGAAGAAAGTTCACTCTCGTTTTCAACACATTCAGTGTCGACTGATATATGAAACTTTAGTAGACAATTTGACTCTGACCTGCCTCGTTGATTCAAATCGGCTAAAATGATTTACCTTTTCGGGAATGGTTATATCGTTCGTCCTTCCAAGTAACAAATTAAATCCTCGAATTTGGTTCCTATATTGGTATGATTCTGAGGAACCACAAAGTTAGAAATTAACAAATAAGTCAGTCGCTGTATTAAGCACATAGATCTGACTCAAAATTAGGCCTCCAGTGACATTCTTTCTTTCTATTGATTGACAAAGGAAAAGTAACGACAAATTTCGTCGAGTACTCGGTGCTGACAGTCATTCCCTGAAGAGAGAAACCACTCTATACTTTCCGCACGAAAAACATCAAAATTTGTACAATGGAATATATAACAGCGTGAGATCAGTAGAGGATTTTATTCAATGGAATAGTGGGTTTCGTCATGCATGGTGTAAAATTAGGTTAGTTGGAAAATATAAGAATCGTTCGATAGCTAACTCGAGCTGTTCGGTTTTCATCAACAGTGTAAATCCATCAACCCAAATGATGACTGAACCCATGACCTACCTCTCAGGTAGAACAACAATATTCTAATTTTCTAACCATCGGATAGCTGCTCAGACCGTTTTCATTCTTCAAATCAGCAATATATAGTTCGGTCGATGCTGTTGGGACCCGAATAGGTGTAAGCAACCGCACATTGCTTCCCAGTTTTTCAGTCCATGCTTTATTTGTTTTGTCTATGACGAATTCCACTATTATTTAATAATAATAATCATTATTGTTATTGTTTGCAACTTGTTTCCTTCCGATTTCCCTTAAATGTACCCAACTCCTCTCTTTGCATCATGATTGTTGTGCGTTGGCCTCAAGCTTGTGCGCAAACTGATGATAGATAAATTTTTAATAAACGTTGCCACGTTCTGTTTAACACCCAAGGACCAAAACTAGCAGAAGTTAAACTCGGTAATCTACCGTGACAGTCCAATTCTGGCAGCCGAGCACCATCGGATCCTTTCCTTGATCTCAAATACGGATCCAGCAAACACTGATGTTCGATGGAGTTATTTGGCCAATCTATCAGATGCGTCAACTACAATTAGTGTCGGGACATTTGCTCACCTAGCACAAACGAGAACCGATAAGCTGACCGCCTTCTCGAGTTTGCAGAATGCCTCGTGAAATATCCCCGATCAGATGCGTCATCGACGATAGATAATAATAATCATCATACTAGTCTCGTTTCAGGGTGTACTAATTGGGAAAAGCGTGGAAAATGATATAATTAGAGCCTAGGAAGGGTCAGGGGGAATTTTATCATACGGATGTGAAATGACTACTTGAATCGATGCAGCCATCGCATTGAATTTAGTTTGCTGTTGATTCAGTGACGTAGTATGAGTTTATGGCTGAGGTGGTGTGGTGTTATGTTTTAAGGTATTTAAGTACATGGCTAATAATTTGATTGATTTGTTGATACTTCTGGGTTTAAATTGATCTCCTTTCTTAAAAGAAGACTTGTCCCATTATTTCTCTTCGAACTCACTTGCTCAAACAGGAAACTCCGCAAAGCCTGTTCATGAAGAAGAAAATATTAACTCCAAGTGATGAAAATTTTATAGTTTAAATGACAATTTCAAAAGAACGATTGTTCTCAACGATAGACGTACGTGTGCATATCATGTTATCAGTTCCAGAAGCGTTCAATGCAAGTACTTTATTTTATCTGAGAGCTAGTAATTAGACATGCACCACCATCACACGCTAACACATGTTTACGCTTACTTAATATCGTGGAGCCCTTGGAACTGAATCACGTCGATATGACAACGAATCCCGGCATAGACCTGACGATGTGAGTTCATTGGACACAACTCTATGTTTACTCTCCAACTTCCGTGCTGTATCGTTTCAGATGAACTGAAGTGATACAACTAAGAAGTTTATAAGCAATTGTTTTTCAACATTTAAGTTCCAAATATGGACGTAGGTGTTTTCAAAATTGCGTAATATCTCAGTTAAAAGTGTCGGTAGTACTAGTTGGAAAAATGTAACAACAGCACAAGGTGACGGTGGATTTTACATCCACTTCCGTGGAAAAGACGAATGTTATTTAGCAGAAGATTATAACCAACTTTTAATGCAGTTTTTGCATGTAAATTTAATAAATTCATTCTACGACCTGAAATTTCTGAAACAAATTGACTTTACCTACGCTAATCCTTGTTATTGGTGTTTGTTTTGGCGCACGATGACTTCGAAAACGGGAAAGAATGGCAGAGCGCGTCTTTAAGAAAGTCGTCTGTCATTGTCAACGATCTTCTCAAGTTTTGGTGGATCGTATTGGGAAATGTGCATGAGTTCTACTAACTCACAAAGTCACTGTGATAAACAGGTGAAATAATCAAGCATTACTGAAAGTCATTATTGAAACTATGGTGGCGTGCCAACAGGAGTCAATCTCACCTGTGGTGATTATCTTTCCTCGTTGTTCAACATTTCCACTTCAAGTTGATTGCGAACATTTTAACCGGACTAAAACAGACTGATAAACATTGTATTCAGTATCTTTTCTGTTGGATTTTCTTGATAGATTCCTTGCAAATTTTCATTTACAACTACGTGTTATAAAAATCAATCTATAGACAGTAGTGCGCAACGAAATTGTTTATCCACAAACTTTATCCGAAGGTTTGATACCTGTGAATGAGCACAAAAGTACGCCTTTTTTAAATTAAATTACTCTCTTTGCCCCCTGTTCAATGAAGGATGGTCTGTTTCTTTGTGTATGCGTGTCAGAACGGCTGTTCTTTTTACAAAACATATCTGTCTGTTCCAGAAATATGTTTGCTCACAAATGCACGTCGGGTAGCGAGCGTCAAGGCTGTAGTGTATTCAAACCTCTACTCACTGGATCGCGAAAGTTTCCTCTCCGTGTTGGACAACTATCCACTGATGCGCCGCACTATGGAATCGGTGGCAGCTGAGCGATTGAGCAAAATAGGACAAAATCCGGCAATTGTGAGCAATAGAGAAGATTTAAAGGAGGATTTGAGTTTGGTAAAGGAGATTGTCAGCTCGGCTGTCACACCGGAGGTTAGCAGTTCCGAACAGGAATCAGAGAATGATGAGACACAGTCCTATTTGAACTTGAAACATCTGCTCAAGTTGGGAAAACATAAAAGACAGAGCCGTCGAAGTCGCACAGGTGGAGACACTGATTCCAAATATGAGGACCAAGACGAAGAACCTGCGGTTGACCATTTGAGTTTGAGTGATAACCTCAGACCGAAAATAAGCATACCAAATGCATTTGGGAATATGAGTCGATTGTTCCGAAGTTCTGCCAAACAAAGGTCACAAATTACCTCATCCCCGGAACGTGGAGACGAGAAGAGGCAAACCACATCGGTACAGCAAAGTCCCGACAGTCAAGCTACTAGAGAACGAGACAGTGAAACCAGTGAGACAATCGGTTATCCCGCTTCGCAAAATTCCTTAACCCAAGCAAATCCAACGATTGCTGTCAGTTCCGATATTGATGTGATCATTCAACATGCCACACCGGAACATAGCCAAAAGTCATCCGAGAACCAGCCATGATATTGAGAACTGGGGACTCCCCCCCCCGCAATCCCTCCAACCTGATCGTTCACCATTGCAGTGCGGTAAACATGCCCAAATTGTTGAATTTTAGTTACACATTCAATTTACTCGCTTTATTCAGTTCTTATTTTCTAGTCTAGATTAAGCGAACCGTGCAATGTGCATTTGGATTTGACGGTTTTTTAGCCAAAACATTACAACGTTACGTGAAGCACTCGCATCGTACAAAGACCTATTTTAGTCGGCGATCCAATGATTCAATGAAATCAAGTAAAAATCAATTATTCTGTTTTAAAATGATTAGTCACGAATGTAAATCGGTTGACCACACAGACACATAGATACTCACAAGCTAGTATTTGTCGAATGACCGAAAACTGTATGCAGTTCTTTGGATGTACGTAACCGCTCGGTTCTCTTTGTTTGTGTATCAGTCAGTCATTGGACTTCTTATCAGATGAACAACTCAGCACACTGACTATTTGTGTGTTTGTGCTGGATGTCCAATTGATTGTTTGATACCGCACACAAAATTGCTCACTTCTGTTGACTACAGTATTTTTCTCGGGTCCCACATTGTATACATTGTCATTCGCGAGAAATTTCCCCCGGGGGACACACACGCACACACGATCAAAGCTAGTCCACCCCACCGATATGAATCAAAAACACACAAATGGTGTGCAACACGCTTCTTTTTTCACGTCTATCCAACCCAGATTACTCATTCATTCAAGAAGATCAAGATGTGTTGACCATCTATCTGTACAGTCACTTTTGACACACACACACAAGACGACTGAGTAAAACTTGAAAATCATCGTTTTATACTCACATGACAAAAAATGCAAATGCAGAACAGATTCTATTAGTGAAGTACCACGTAGGCCAGTTTGATATGATACTCTCACTCATCTCTACCTGCTGTTCGCCTGCCCATCCACATCAGTTCAGATCAATACATATGAGCACAAATAAAGAGCATTCATTTGACGTTTGTCTATTTGTCCCAAGTTTGCATTTATCTTTCTCTCTCTATAGTGACGTGTTGTTCCATGACAACTCTCTTTCCACGAGATAATATTATTCCAAAAGGTGAAAATATGCATTTTATTGAAAACGTCTTTCTTCAAGTTTTTCATAGTATTTTGTCATCTTCTGCCCAGATACAAAAGTGGAATTGTCTCCAAATTCGTTGTTTTTCTTTACACTCTGGGATCATGCAAAACGGATGGTAAATACACTGGTGCTGAGGCAAGTGCCTCGTGTGATGATGATGATGATGACTATGATGATGGTGATGGTAATTACGCCTGGGTTAATGCACAGTGATCTGACCTATGTGGATAGAGTAATACATATATTTGAATTACGTAGTTCGGCGTTCGCATCCTTTAATTCATTATACATGAACATATATATATATTGTTTATTCATAAGTAAAAATATTAGATAAAGAGAGCCAGCCTTACCCTGAGACGAGCAATGCTGTTTTCCTACTATCTTATTTCAGCGTCCGTTGACTCGACTGGAGAGAAATAAGCGGAAAAATGATCCTCATGTACGCAAGAACCATAACCGCAAATCAGCAATCTGAGAAGATATCAAAGTCTATCTGTCATAGGAACGGAACACCAACGCATATATATATATATATATGTGTTTGTGATTGCCTGTGTCAGAAATATTATCTAGACTCTGGAGATTTGAAGTTTCTTTTCTACTACCCGGATATTAGGAACTCTTTAGAATCATCATAATTATCTAAAAGATTGGAAAAGATCGTTCACGGTGTGCACTTCAAATCTCTGTGCCCTTTTATCCAATGGAATGTAGGTTAACTGGAATGGTATGCATCAACAATCGCGTCTCGACATCCACTGAGTTTTGAAAATAAAATATAATGCTGTTTGGGTAAATCTTACATGAAGTTGTCTAATCTATCGAACTGTTTGAATTCAACTTTAAAGTTAGGGTGATGGATTATTTTGCTGATCACAAGGAACACTCGTGAAGTTGTAAAGGTTTTCGAACATTATCAAAGCATACCATGGGGGATAAAGATTATCACGTGACAGAGTTTCATTCAAGTGGGGGAATAGAGATCCTGACTATCACTGATCAATTGCTGAAATTCCTGTGGTAATGGTAAGATTATTCTCTCTTGCAAAATTGTGCTTAGCCCCATTAATTCACAAAAATTCTGTTCAACAGTTCATTCGAATAGCTCATTTCATAGAGTTATTCCTAACAACACAAGTTGATGCAGTGCCTAGCAAAGGGAAGACTGTCGTTATGTCTTTTTTACCGCATGGTTACATCAGCTAACAAGATTTGGCGAGAAGGGCAGCGTTGTCTACATGGAAAGAATGAAGATGCTGACTGTTTATCACCACGGATAGCAAATCGATAATTATGTCTCTAAGTCGAAATTATTGTCCCTTGAGAGTAATCAACCAAAAGAAACTTCTTACGGTGAACACTTTTTGATCGTGGTACGAAGGTTACCCCCCCCACTATTTTGATCTATGCACATTAATTTAGATTTCTTTTTTACCTCCAACCGAAATGCAGCAAAACTTGGGTAATGTGAAAACATTCGCTTTTAAAGGACCGCCACCACGGAGTGATAAAATTGGTTGTCACTGGGGCGGTAACATATGTGAGAGCAAAGATGATTCACATCCGTAGGTCTACTAATACAATTAGGTAGGGAACGTTATAGGCAAAAGATTAGAAGGCCGTTTGCAACACAGATAAAAACAACCGCGTTAGAGGAGACAGGATGGTCAGAGAGTAACGGGATATGAAAAACCACTTGCTACTGCGGTTGGCATCAAAGACTGAGTTACACAAGTTGAGGTGAAAGGAAGTGGAATCAAAACAGAGAAGCGTACACCTTGATTGCCCTTTCTTCAACAGCAACAATTACAGACTGGCAAGATGCCAGATTCTACACGAAAAATGACACCGTTTTGTTGGATAATTTCACGTGGCAGTATCACAAGGAATTAGAGGAATAGATAATGAAAATCAGCAATCATCGACATACTCATCCAAACGGTTTATATCTGTGACTGTGTCCCGATCTAACATGTTGTGTACCACTGGAGCAAGTGAACCGTTGTTTGAATAACTGTCGTTAAGATGTAGTCAGAAAGTGGCATTCATTTATAAGAATGTTTAACACAGTCAGATACAAAATTTTGTAAGTGAATTCCCTCTGGGCCCAATTTTAAATCATATCTTTACGACTAAAATGATTACAGTTGTACTACAAACAATTGTAAGTGATTATATCCACTACTACCGATAATTACACTAAAGATCTTTTATCATAAGCAGTAAATTTAGTCTAAATGTGTACACCTTAAAAGATTTTGCAGAGATGAATCAGCAAATACTGCTTTGCGTGCTCTATAGTTGCTATTTTTGAGAAACTTTAATCGATTCCATTAAGAAATTTATTCGAAGAAATAGCCCATCAGTTTAAGTTCGCAAATTGTCGGAAGAATCAATGAATACATCCTACGGACTTACACAGGAATTCGTACTCATTCCATACCTTTTACAGCATTCACGAATGATCTCCAAAGTATTATTGTGGTGGAATTATCATTATCTATTAGAAACAAACAAGAAGAGCAACTGAAGTTCCTGTAGGTTATTTAGTATTACAGAAAACACCTGCTGCATAGGATGGTCTAGCATCAATGGCAGCAAAGTTATTGTTTAGAAATATGTGGATATATCATTGCATCACGTAAATATGTTTACATTCTCTTAATAATCAACGATTCTCATTTGCTGTAAGAGATGTTCGGAAGGATATACAATGTCTCACAGATTGAGTTAGAGCTTCATCAATCAGTTTGAACAAAGTTATGCCACTCAAAAATGTTTTAGACAGATTGATATAGAACTATTCATCCGTTCACCATCAAAATATATTAAACCGAAAACCAAGTACGCCATCCAAATTCATGCCTAAATCGCGACAGAAGGCGATGAAACCATTCTAGAAACTATCGTGAAATGCCACAAATAGTATAATCTTGTACATCACATAGTGGTAGAACAATGCATGGTGTGATCTGCGTATATCAAACACTGCATTAACAAAATCGTCGGCGTAGTACTAAACCGACCGTTAGGAAACTAATCCCCAGCAGAGTCAACAAATTTCTGGAATGATTCGTTTGCCACCAGAGTTTGTACTACCCGGAACCTATTTCATATCTGATTGATTACGCTTCAAACATCAGTTCGTTCAAATTACAGCTCCATGAGACATAGAAGCACCCAAATACCAACGAACGCGTGAGAAGGAGTCATGTCAAGTCAAGAGTGCAATTTATTCATTCAATGTAGATAGAAATATCCGTGTAGCAAATAAACAAAATATCATCTTAAAAATCTACATGAGACCGTGTATAACTTCGTTTGATATTCGCTCCCTAGAAACCAACTAACCTGAAAAAAGGCAGGTACAACGGAGTTGTGAAAAGCAGTGGTATGAGTATATAACAGTTTAAATATATTGTGGGTGACAGAAGTTGCAATGGAACCAGAGAGGGCTGACTGTGAAGGATGTGATGCATCGGACGAGATAGAGTCACACAGACGGTCACACGCATTAAGATGTCGGTTGACAACGGAGTCAACCAGCGCCTCATAGGATACAGCTCCATATCTTGAGATGCTTTCAGAGCGCGTCTAATTAATATGGTATCCTTAAACAGTAGACTGGGTAAGACAACGAGAAAGCTGCAGGTCGAATGGCATACAACGCATGAGAAAACAAATTTGAAAGTGATGTACAATGGCACCCTCAGATACCGAAGGCGTGAAATATACAAGGTCAGGTTTCTGACTTTAAGAAATGTTTGTTCTACGTGATCGAACAATGTGAGGTCAGCAGACACGAAACATCCCAGATATTCGAAGTGTCTTCACCTTTCAAATTTCGAGTTATGGATCAAGATATTGGGAACAGA